TATATATATATATACATATATATATATATATATATATATATATATATATATATATATATATATATATATATTTAGTGCATTTTCAACATATTTTCTGCTAAATTCAGGACACTAAGTTCAGCAGAATAGTCTGCAGTGCTTACATGTGCAGTGTGAATCCTATAACTGTTTAATATGGGCACTGAAATGCGTACGCGCTACTACTTACGCATATGCTGTGAAACAAGTCTAAAGAAAACAATATTCGCATGATGTACTTTTCTACTATTAGTTTCTACATGTTGTTGCACAGAATGTCACTCTAGAGATCTTTGTAAAGCATCCAAACATCCATTCATTCATCCACCCATCTTGTAATCTTCATAGCTTGGCTAGCAGTCTTTCAGTTGAATTCACTAAAGCCCTATTCTGCAATGCAGCAATGCACTGTGGGATTGCAGCTGGTGTAGGAGCATCAGAACTCACCAGTAGCACAGGAGGAAGCAAGCAATGACCCAAGAGCCAGATGAGGGAAAATGAAGAAATGATAAAGAGAGGGAATTTGAAACATTGGAAGGAGAAATGGAAGAAGAACATGATCAGGATGAAGAAGCGGAAGAAACAGATCAGATGAGCACAAAAGAGTGAGAGTGAATGAGAGAAAAGAGAGCAGAATTAAGCAGCAAGGCATTGGGAAGAAGACTTTCTCAGTCCATGAATGTAGAGCAGAGATGAATGTAAACACAACGCATGAGAGAAACAGATGGAAACAAAACGGATCTCATCTCAACACATCAATACCACCACACAACCAAAATGTAACGTGTCTAGACTCAATATGCCACAATGGCACACGCACACAATCACTGAACATCAAACACGTCTCTGCTATGTAAAAGTGACATATACCCAGAAAAAATGTTTATAAAAAGGAAAAAAAAAAAAAAGATTAATTTGACTTCTCAGTTATGTTTTATTGGACAAAAGTGAGTATCATCTATATATTGGAGACTTGAGTATCTTGGCAAATCTAAGCAGAGATTGAGATCTCTTGATTACGAAGGTCATTTTTCAGAACAAAACTGGATAAGGAGATTAAGTCATAGTGACAGATATTTTCTTCCATAATGTTATGTACATCAGGCTGCAATGGATTATCTGGAAAAAAGTAGTTGGTCAGGGCCGTGGTTCTATTCATCGGTTGTTGATTGGATGTTGAGATGTGAGCGTGTGTCAGATGAACGTGATCTTGCAGGGGTGGCGCTTAAGCGGACTATATGATTGGACATCACCACAGAAAACACTGTCTAGTCATGACATTTTGATTAGTTCAAAACATTTTTTAATGAAACACACTAACAAAGTGTTAGAAATAAGATAATATCTATAACAATAAGATCTTTAACAATTTCTATTCCTTTCTGACTTAAAGCACAAGTCTCCATTTGTTCTCCATCTAATCTCACAGCTTTCAGAGACAAACTACTGAGATCTCATTTGTGATTTGTCTTTCCTAAGGGTATGCAACAGTGCTACAGTTTCCATGCTATGGACTATGATGGCTGTAACCATGACTGTTTTGAACACCAGACAAAAATTTGGCTGCACACTCTCAGAAAAAAGGTACCAAACCTTTCAAAAGGTACTAACATGTACCTTTGAGGTACCCAATTAGGAGTAAGTGTGGTACAAAGATGTACCTTTTGTTCTGAGAGTGCAATGAAAATGACATGAAGAAAAAATAAATAAGTCACGAGGGCTGCAGGTAATGTACCTGACATCAGATCTCCTCCGGCAGCTGCTGCGGCTGGTTTGGCCTCTCCAGCGCCCGCAGATTCTGATCCATCCACGCAGCATGAGGGTAAAAAAGTTTAAAATGAGCCAAAGCCATTACTCTGAGAAATAACCCCAGAGAGAGAGAGAGTGTTATCACACATAAATAAAAGCCAGAAATAAAAACAAACTCACACAAGAGCACACACATACACCTCATTAAAGCCTTTTGACCGGCCAGCTCAGGAAATCTCCTGGTCCATCAACCATCAGCTTTTAACAGAATCCACAGCAACCATCTGGTCAAGACATGCAAATCAAACCCCCAGCATGCACACTGGGTAGTTACCAACCCCCAAACAGGTCCAGATTTGCTCCGCTGTCTGGCCAGCTCATGGGGGCCGATAGAGCAGCGGCAGGAGGACGAAACGCATCTGGAGCACAGGAACGGGTTTAGTTGACACCTGAAGTCCTGCTTGTTTAACATTCATTATTTGAAGAGTAACTATGCAACTATGTAAACCAGGACCCGTAAACGCATTAGTTTTAGGTCAAAACCAGAGCCTGTTTACTTCATAGATGAAGACAGGTTTGTGAGATAAAGCCAAAGGGAAAAAGCGAAATTAGAAAGGTTTATAAGTGGGGATAATGTAACTAATGGCTCTTGGAGATGTTTCAAGAGAAACATAGATGAGAAGATTTGGAATGATTAAGAAATGAATTAGTTTGTTGGATGGACAGTTCCTTCGGCTGCCCCGGGAGAGAAGCATATTTGGCTCACCTTGAGCAGTCAAGAACAGGATAGAGGAAAAAAACAAAGCACAAGCGAGGCATGGAATGAGTGGATGGATTTACTGCAGCGTGTACCTGCTGAAAACAGGTCTAGACTGGGGTTTGGGTCTGTTTTGGGAACAGATGAGTCTGGCATGGGATCAAAAAAAACTAAAAACAAGACAACATTTATAGACATAAACATAAATAATTTTAATACACAACACAAACCAAACAAATGAAAATATAGAATACCAAAATACAAAAAAAAAAAAAAACTTAAAGATACCTTATAAAAGTTCCAGTACCATGGCCACATGGAAATGTGAATTCATGCTTTACACTGGAACAAATATCTTCCTTAAAGTGCAAAAGTTTTATTCAAATAGTTTTAACTGTTCCCTTTTAAGGGACAGTCCACCCAAAAATGAAAACTCTGTCATTAACTCAGCCTCATGTTGTTCCTGCATGCATTTCTGTCTCCTGCTGAACATAAAAAGTACGATATTCTGAAGAATGCTGATAAGCACACAGCTCCGGTTCCCACTGACTTCCATTTTTTCTGCATATTATGGAAGTCAATGGGTACCGAAACTTTGGTTGCCAACATTTTTCAGAGTATCTTTTACATTCCACAGAGTCATACAAGGAAAGTCACACAATTTAAAAAAAATATGAGGACGGGTAGTAAATCATGACATAATTGTCATTCTTGGGTGGACCTTCCATTAAAAGCACTTGCTGAAAAACAACAGGAAAAGGTGTCTTGCCAAATCTCTGGCCTAAGGAGGTTTACCAGCAAACAGGTGTATCGTTGGGGCTGGGGAAGCAGTGGGGGCTACAGTGCTGGTGGTTGTGGAGACAGACGCCTGGACAGTGTTGGGTGCCACTGAGCTAAAGAGAGAGTTACTGTCATCTACTGGCTGCATAGAGAACAGGTCCAACTGATGGGAGTTATCAGCAGTACCAGCCGCTGGAGTGAAGGGATCTACCGGGAGAAGAGGATGAGCATTTAAAAACATCTTCCAGGCTCTGAAAGACTTATATAAAGTTGTCCTGAGGATGAAATTTCAGAGAAGGAAGAATGAAAAAGAAAGTGGAAGTTGGAGAGGGTTTTGTTGCACATTTAACAAGTCGACATCTGCTTGTGGCTCCTGGAAGACAGAACTTCAATGTTCAAAGACTATCGCCCTAGCAACACAGATAGCAATCTCCATGGCAACAGCGATGCCAATCCAGAAAACTCAACACTGACCAGAGGAGGCTTCATTAGGAGCAGAGCCTGCATAAGAGGCTCTGTGAGGTTCTTCAGACCGGTAAATGAAACATTCAGAAGCAAGCACACGCACTCTCTCACCCGTCATGTGCGGACATTCTCACATACACATATATGCACGTGAACCGTTGTCACCCACCGGTTGGCGCGGTGCAGTCGGCAGCAGGGGTGGGCGTGGTTGCTGTGGCCCCACCTTCTGCAGCAGCCACTGTTTCAGCCGCAGGGGCCGCAAATACATCTGGAGTAGCGTGCATCAGGGTCAAAGGGTTGGTATATAATAGCCAAAGAAAAGGAGGAAAGGAAGAAGTGGAAATAGTAGATGGTGTAGAGAAAGAGAGAGAAACAATAGATTCAGTGTCATGCAGAGTTCGATTGAAAAGATGTTTTGCATTTAAAATATTTAAAACTAAAGCTGTATCCCAATTCATGGGCTACATCCTTCAGAGGGTGCATGCCAAGACTGAATGTGCCATAGCAGTGTGGCGAAGACTGTCCCATTTCGTAGGCTTCTATAAATGTGGCCTTGGAAATCCGCCCTTCATTTCCCAGGCCACAATATAGCACAGACTATCCCAAGATTCTTTTCATGCTGTTGATGACAGGATACTTTTTTAAAAGAGAGCTATACTTAAATAAGTATTGAGATTCAACTTGCTCGATTATCTAATGTCACAAATGTGACACTTTAAAGTGGTTCAAATGTGGAACTTACCAAGATGCGATTTTAAAGGCAGTTTACACTTTTATTATGTACATAAACAGACCAAGGTAAACATATTAGTGGTCCGTCTAAGGATGCAGCCCCTGAATTGGTACACAGCTTATGTCTTGCACACTTTTAATAATAATAGTAATAATAATATATGAAAAATACCCATTTTACTCTAGGAAAATAAAATAAAATGGGTCAAATTTCAATTTGACTTTAAACCTATTTGTAGTTGCTGAATTTAAAACTAATGAAAACCTGATTAATCTTACTGTGCAGTCTGCAAATGTACACATAAGAATAATCAAATTATACAAATTCATTCAGTGTATGTGAATGTACAATGAATGTCAAATGCAAACTGCAGAAGTGTAGCATGGAAGATAAAAAGTAGAAAAGGAAATGAGAAGCTCTAGATTTCTACTACGGACACAAATGGAGGAGCAATGGTGACTACAGACTTCACAAATGAAGCACAAACTGTGATTTCGATCTAATCTTTGATTTTCTTCCTCTGTTTCAGAATGTGGCACAGCCTTTTCCCCCAGAAAACTCTTCGTAAGGAAGAAACCTCACTACTGACCTCCGAGGAGATCTGCTGAGCCGGAGGAAGCACCGGCAGCGGAAGGAGGAGGAGCCAAAGAAACGGCTGCCTCAGCGGCTGTGGTGGTGGGCGTGGCTGAGGAGCTGGAGTCTACGGCAGGGGTTGGGTCAGGAAGGAGAGTCTCTGTAGTAAGGGAGCCTATTTCTGCATAGCCACGCCCCCAGCGGACCAATATAAACACACCGTAAATCAACAGATAACCAGGAAAGGAACCAAAGAAGAGGGTAAGAGCAAAAGAGAGAGAGAAAGAGATTCTACTGAGCAAAGACTGAGGGATTGACACAAAGATGTTAAATGGGCTTTAGGAGACTAGGTTTGTCATACTCTGTCATACTCTAATTTCAATTCTCCAGATGAGCTATAACAAACGTTTAAAATGCTTAATAAAGTGAATGAGACATTTAACACATCAAATTAGATGAAAACACTTATTTAACATAAAATGAAAGGTTAATAGCGCTTACCTGAGCCCAGCAGATCTGATGTGATAGCAGCCCATGACAGAGAAAGAAAAAGATATTTCAAATTAGGTCATTAAGAGTTTGTAATGAGGAATATAAAACAGATGCTTAAATTTAGGAAGTTTGTGAGTTAAAGGTCTGCTACTGAGGTCAGTTTTTCACATTACTTTGGGTTTGTGGCAAGTTTGGTTTTGTAATGGATCAATGTGAAATTAAATTAGATCTAATATACTTTTAGAAAACGGTGAATAATTTACTGGTGCATATGATTGCAAATGTAATAATAATTTTTACCTAATTGTAATACAGTTTTCTTTATGGCTGATGTCATTGAGACTACTTTCATTATTTAATCAGTCCAATAGATAAATCTAGTCAGTTTTTTCTTGCTGGATGACCCGTTTCACTTTAAAATATGTCACATTATGGAAGTGAAATCGGTTGTGAATGCTGTTTCATGTTCATAATATAAATGATTATTATAAATATTTTATGGTTTCATATTAAAGTAACCCAATTTAAGCATGCTGGCACATATACTTCAACATCTTTGAGTTAGACCGCAGCAAAGCCATGTATCGGAGTTTACTCAAAACATTTTTGTTTTTATAAATTAGCGTTTTTGGGTTTGTGTTTGGCCTCGATATTCACAGATTTGGGCCAATGCTATTTTAGTATTATTTATATATTACTCTAGTGTTTAGTAATATTTTAAATGTGTATTTATTTTCATTTTATTTAATTCAAATTTTATTTTAATTGAACTTGTAGTAATTTTTGACATTTTTATTAGTGTTTGTTTGTTAAAAATGTCTAAACAAATGTATTTATTTTTTTGGTTTCATTTCAGTTTTAGTTGTCAGTTAGTAATTTTAATATGTCAAGGCAATTTTATTCATTTACATTTAGTTTAAGTTTTCTGAATGTTTATTTAATTTTTTCAGCTTAATTAACTAAAACGTTTAATAGTTCTATCTTTTGATAACAATAACAACACTGGTTCGAGCTGCAAAGTGTGTAAGTGTTTGGATTGTACCTCCCCAAGATGTGGGAGCAGCTGATGCTCCTGTAGAAGGTCCAGAGGAAGACAAAGGGTCCAGATCCAGCAGAGAACTGCGGTGAGACAGACAAACACTTATGAAAGCTGCTCATTCAGATATTATCTGTTGTTCTGATTAGCATTTAATCAGACAGGAAGTGAAGTCTGGTTATTTGGGTCACTCACTCGGTGGCAGTTTCGGCGGCAGCAGGTGAGGCCTCAGCACGGGGCGGCTCTAAAGTGGGGACGGCAGCGGCTGATTTGGCGGGGGTGGAGGTTGGAGACACATTATTGGTGGGTGATCCCTAAAACATAACACAGAGCAACATATTGAGCACATGTGTGTGATATCTATAAAAAATAATACCATAAAAATTCCCGCTTACTTTTGTGGGTGACCTGAAGGACACAAGCAGAGACAATGAGATAGAAGTGAACAGATGATTTTATTTAAAAACAATATGACTAATGAAAATGTCTGAGATTACATAAAACATACTCACCCTTCCCTGAACAAACCATTGTGGGAGGAGGAAAAGAACATAAATTAGGATTAATATTTATAGGCTTTATATTTATTATTCAAAGAGACTTACAATATAATAACTGCAGAGACAAGCCGTGGCTATGTGCCTTTCTTAAGCAACATTTGATTTACAAGTGCAGAGTTACTTCCCCTCTGACATTTAAAGTGATTTAGAATGAGTTCAGGGATCTCGTACCCTTTCTTGCCCTCTAGACTGTTCATATGTGCCTCTAGAGACTCCAGAATACTGCTGGGAGCCTGAGGACAGCAGAATAAAACACACACACACACACACACACGCACGCATATGATGAGAAAAGGAAAGCAGTGTGAAGACCGTACAAAAATCATGGCATCAGGGCATTTTTGATTTTGATATCTCCACAGCAAATTCAAACAATAAAACACCACATCAAAACCCGGTGAAAATCTTTACCCAAAGCACTCCTCACAGCACCGCAAAATCAGCTCAAAGCACAAACTGTGGGACAGAACTGGACTTCAGTGCATTGCTTTTCTCAGCTTCTGAACAAAAGGCTAATTATGAACTCTCGGTCTTGGAGAGAAATTCAAGTAAAAAATGTCACTTGCATAGCATCACTTCATACAATACAGATTGCTTTAAAGCAGGAAAATAACAATGTTAATGTTGCAAAATTCTTTGATTTCAGCTATAAAGCAGCTCCACAGAAGACAACAGTATCTTATATGAGTTCTTATTATCGCTTTAAAGCTTCCAGTAACTGCATAATGTTAAAAACTAGTGTTTTGTGACTAGCCTAGTCAGGAAGGGCTTCTGTACAAGCAGGTAAAAGCAATACACTGAGATGCATATTGCATCCCACATCAGTCGCCATGGTTACCGGCTCCTCGTTGTGGCAGTCTTTAAAGGGACAGTCTTCATTGTCTGAATCTGCCAGGTCTGCAACTACACGGGGGTGCAAACACTGGGAATCCCCACGGGAAGGCGTTTTGATAATGACTCTTGGTTAGGATGGATGAAAAGCTCTTTGAAACTCACACCAGCTTTACTTAATTATTTTAAAAGGTTGATAGACTCTTCCCATGCTATAATGTTTTAGAAGCCATTGACATCAAGAAATATATACTTGACCTGATTCTAATATTAATTAAGAGCTAGTGACATACCAGCATGAAAGAACAAATGTTTGTTTCAAAAGGCTGACTTACATAAGAGATGTCAGGGATGTCATTCTTATCCACTCCTACTTGCTGCAACAGAAACACAATAAAAATACAGTGAATTGACATTCTATCCAAATATTTGACTTGAAAGCATCTCTGCTTCTGACCTTACCTCAGCAATTTTCATGAACTCAGCAATTTTGGTCACCCGGGTCAGAAATTTCTTATAAATGTCCAGAGAATCCTTGCACTCAGACTTCTTCATTTTGAAATATTTCTCTGTATAATTAAAAATAGACCCATTTTCAGGGGACAAAATAGATGTTTAAAATATATTAAAATATAACGATGTAATGTAGTTGAGATCGAAAATAAGTTATCACATACCTAATAAATTGATGATGCCGTCATTGTAGGAGGCGAAGAGTTTTATCAGATCCTTAAAGAGAAGCATGAATGCTGCATTTATGATGCCATTATTCAAGTCTTTAGGATGAACCTGAGAAAAAAGATGGTGGAAGGACAGAGAACAAGACAAAAGGGGGTATTTAAAACTGTAATGTGAACAATAAAATAGAGTTGGACCTTCTGTTCCTGACCAAATAATGATAAGCACATTAAAATAAATACAATCAAGTCAACAAACCGGTGAAAGAACAAAATCAGTGGTGAAACCACAATCATTAAGAATAAACCTAGACTGCTCAATCTCAGACGTTCAACTTCTGTCTCAGATGTTGTGGGAGACGTTACTCACGTCAAACTCCAGCAGTGTGTCCACTTGAGTCTGAAGGGCAGGCATGGCCTTCAAAAGCTTGTCAGGAGCCATAGTCCTCATCACTCCATCAGCTCTGTGTGCGCACACACACACACACACACTACATAAGACTGATTGCTTAGTTAGTTAGTTTGTGAATCCTGAGAAACCATCCTTTCATTCTCTCTGATTTAGAGATGACATTCCCTTTGTGTTCTGTAAGTGTAACAGCTCTGGGAGTACATTCTGAAGTGTTTCTAACCTTCAGGCAAACAACAACATGCTATTTAAAATGCACTCTGACATAATATTTAATTACTTGGAGTAACTAGTGTATAAATGTTGCCAATGTGTCCTTCTATTCCCAGAATCCATCGACCTACCCCTTCTTAACTCGAATGAAGTCGAAGGCCATCGCGCGGTAAGCATATGCCTTCTCATTTAAGTAGCGTGCATATCGTCTGATGAATGTAGACATGTCATAGCCTTGTAGACAGAAAAGGAAAAACAGCACTAAGCAGCCTTAAAATTAAAACCATTTACTTGTATAGACAGGCTAAACATGTTAATAATTAAAGGAATAGTTCATTAGATTTTTTTTAACACCCTCAGGCCATCCAAGATGTAGATGAGTTTGTTTCTTCATCATGACAGATTTGGAGAAATGTAATATTACATCACTTGCTCACCAATAAATCTGTAGTGAATGGGTGCCATTAGAATGAGAGCCCAAACAGCTGATAAAAACATCACAATAATCCACAAGTAATCCACACCACTCCAGTTTGTAGTTAAAAATATCTTGATAGATTTGTTTCTTACAAACACATAGCTTTTTGCTTTACAGGATGTTAACTGATGGACTGGAGTTGATTGTGGGCTTGAGTTCAGATTACTAGTGGATTATTATTATGTTTTATTAGCTGTTTGGACTTTCATTCTGACGGCACCCATTCACTGCAGAGGATCCATTGGTGATCCAGTGATGTAATGTTCAAATTCTCCATATCTGTTCCCATGAAGAAACAAACTCATTTACATCTTGGATAGCCTGAGGGTGAGTAAATACTGTACATTTTCATCAAATTTTCATTTTTGGGTGAACTATTTTAAATTAAATTTAATTAAGTTTATGTGTTTTCATCCATTTAACTCACACACAAATGTACAGAAACTCACCATGGGAGCCTGTTTTGTCAATAAAGTTGCTGAGATTGAACAGGGAAGTCCTTGAGGCCAAATACTGGATGAATCTCTGCAGGGATTTAAAAAGGACACAGTATTTTAGTATTCAGTATCTGTGAGTTTTAATATTAACAGTTTGACTTAAAGGAGAAGATTAATCAGCAAGTAGCGCCTCACCTCATTGCCGTAGATGCAGATGTGGTGGGTCGTGGTTAGAGCTTTGAACACGACCACCCAGCTGGCATTAGTGGATCTTTCGAATAGTGTGTCAGCCATCTGGGGGATGTTCACGTTTGTCTCATTGGTGGTTGAGATCAGATCTGCACACAAAAAAACACACATTTACCACTACTGCACTATGCACCGAAATGTAGATGAAGGACTTTGAGAGCTTTATGATTATTGAACCAGCAGACAGATTCTCTAGGGGAAAATTCATATCCACAATTGCATTATGGAAGCAAGAAACAGCCCCACGGAGATAAACAACTCACTGTGCATTTTTCTTGCACGTAACAATATACTGCATGCAATGGAATGCATGAGAAAAAAAATTTAAGAAATGTTCTAGTCAGAGAGATTGAGGTAATTCAATATTTTATTTTTGAACAAAATCAAAGGAAATCAAATGTGTGTCATGAAAATCTAGTTTTCCAGATTCAGTAGAAATTGTACGTTTAGAAACTTACTGTATATGGAGTGTGAATGTAATCACACTTGTCAGGTCTAAATAAAGTCCCTTCCAGAAATCAACTACACACAAGATACAACTGTAAAATTAACTTCTTTCAGACACAATATCAGTTTCCAATCAAATGGGACCAAAGAAGCAGAACCGAAAAATGGATAAACACATGAAAACATGTCCAGGCTACATTTGACTCATTTTACATTTTAAGACATAAGATTTTTTTTTTGAGCATAAAGCAATGAGGCCATTATTCTCAATGGTGATTATCATCAGATTCTCAATACTGTAATTAAATGATTTTAAAAACTGAAATCAGCATTGGGAAATTTGGTGGAAAATGTGTTTTATTATCATGAAAACAATGCACAAAAATCTTAATAGTCTTAAAACAGGATTCATTTTCTGTAATCAAAATATATATTGTTTTCTTTATTTTGATTTGGAGTGCAGCATGTCCCTGAAATCTTCTTGATGGGCTTCACAACTGAGCTTGTCTTAAATACCATATAACATTGTGCTTAGGGTGCCAATATGTTAGTCATGGCGACTAGAGAACACACTGCAGTGGAGTTAAGAAGCCAAGAATAGTTCAGATTAAAACACACACTGAGATGCAGTGTGTCAACACTAGTGCAATATGTTGCTATGTAATGTCATAATATAAAGAAGTATGGCACAGCAGTTTCTGTGAGCAGGTGCAGCTCACTGGGATTATGGAATTGCTCAAGACGATTACAGGCAGTGTAAATACAGACACATTGCAAACACACACACACACACATGCACTGTCATTTGCTAGTCCACATTAATGTGAGCACATGACTAAACGGCTGCTTGGGTCTCATTTCTACTGTATATGATGCAATCATGCAACATCATACTTATCAATCCTGCCAAATATAATACAGAAAATGCATTTTACTGTTAATACTTAATATTACAACAACACTGACAGAAAAGCCTAACAACCTGCAACAATTAAAATGTAAAATGCCCATTAATTAACATTTTGTGAAGTGAAAATCTGCATATTTGTAAGAAACAAATCCATCAAGGCATTTTAACTCTAAACCGTCGCTTCTGCCCAAAATATGAGTCCATCTATAATCTATAATCCATAACAACAATTCCTCCAGTGAAAACGTCCATCCCCTGTTGTCCTCTCACATCAAAACTCACATCTGTTTTTAACTGTTTTCATTTGTAAACTGTGCTTGATCTGTGCATACTTCTCTCCTGATTCATACAAGACAACCTGTTCACCGAAGAAAGCTATATTATGGATAGAGGACTTTTATTTTAGCCAAAAGCAATGTTTGGAGGTTAAAACACCTTAACGGTGGATTTATTTCTTACAAACAGCTTTTCACTTCATAAGATGTTAATTGATGGACTGGAGTGATGTGGATTCCTTGTGGATTATTATGATGTTTTTATCAGCTGTTTGGACTTTCATTCTGACGGCACCCATTCACTGCAGATGATCCCTTGGTGAGCAAGTGATATAATGCTAAATTTATCCAAATCTGTTCTGATAAAGAAATAAACTAATTTAAATCTTGGGTGAGTCCATTCTCAGCCAATTTAAATTTTTGGGTGAACTACCGTATTCCTTTAAATTCAGTCTTTTTCATTTAAAGCAAATGCAGCCTGTCTGTCTTAGAATGAAGACCCTCTTGTGCAAATTGATAGCATTTCATCACGATGTCACTCACTCCTCCCCCTTCACCAATAATCTACTTCAGTTTCCATGACAACCTCACCAACACCCCTCATGCCTTCCAACTCAACAAACAAATGATTGAAGTAGTAAGACAAAAACTCATCAAACACATTTCCTTGTCATAAACACCTGACACTACTGAAGAAAAATTAGTTTGTTTCTGTGTATTGAACAGTGCATCTTCCCACAGGTGCTTAAACTGTGCCAAGACCGAATTGATTTCAGAAGAGCCTAAAGTGGGCTGTTATATCAGGAAACATCTTAAGCATCATGTATGATTCCCTGATGAATGGATTGCTAATATTCACACACACAAGGCTTTTGATTCCTCTGCTTGCATAGCAGTGTGCTCACCTTTGGCTTTGTAAATAATACATGCATGCTTTGGCTGATCGATTTATAATTCAGAAGGCCTTCTCCTGCAGGACACAGAGCTCGAGGCCGACATGAAGATGCTTTGTAGCCTCTCTGTCCTGTCTAAATGCAGTTGATTTCCTTCTGTCTTCTCAGCTCGAGACAAGCCACCCACATAAAGACACTTCCTAGTATGTTCTGTGCTGTCAATTTGCCTTCATTCAGCTTCACACACTAAGAATCTCCTTATATAAAATGCACCCTAAAAAGGCAGGTTTTCCATTTACAGAATTGCAACTGGTAGCAAACAACCTCACTGAGTACAAACCATGCATAAAACAGAGCGCTGTGCTAATTGCACGGTAAACTCAGCTTCATCATTGTACGCATTGAGCTGTGGTGCTGAACTGGACAGCGCCAGGTCTTAGGAACGAGGGTGCGTGCAAAATGTCTCACTTACACTCCAGGTGCTTCTTCTTGGGCGCCATCACCTCGTGCGTGGTGGCTTTGCAAACGGCACGAGCCACATCGGATCCGGTGAGCTGGTACTGCGCCGCGGCGATGCGATCCGTCAGAGTCTGTCCCGACATTTTCTCCCGGTAGCGTCGACAACCACCTCAAGAATCAACTTCAGGGGGAAGGACAGCCGAAATGCATATGATATTCGCCGACAAAAAAAGAGGCGGAATCCAAGGTGGCTCTCTAGACCTGACAATGTCAATTCCTCGTTTCGGTTTCCAACCGGAGCGGATGAATTTGCGTATTTAAAAGCACAAAATATATATTCTCAATTGAATCCTTTAAAACAAATTCCCTCGTAGGCGTCTAGCATGGGTTGGTTTCAGCACCCTGGATAATGCCTATATTGCGTAACGCCCTACGACGAGCTGATTCCTGGCTCTCGCGGGAAATAAATAATCAAATTAATACGTTAAACCGTCACCTTTGATTATCATATGTATTAAAAACCCCATCTAACCGAAATGACAGAGCGTTTTGCGATTAATGAGTTCTTTTTGCGAAGTAATTAATTAAATAAACACATAAAAAAACGAGTTGTAGGAGCGCTCCGTTGATAAATCCTCTACTATAAAGCTGTTCGGGATTCCGGAGCCTCGGGAATATTCGGTCGCAGCCCGTGTGTCCTTCGCGTCCGGTCGGATGATGATGATGATGATGGTGATGGTGATGATGATGATGACGTGTCTCTTTCCAGCCGTCTCAAGGGCGGGAGTTTGAAGACAAGTATGTTTCCACGTTTCAGAGCTATAGCGTGTAGATCTTGGCTATTTTAGTTGCTTTAATCAGCAAGTAGCGCCTCACCTCATTGCCGTAGATGCAGATGTGGTGGGTCGTGGTTAGAGCTTTGAACACGACCACCCAGCTGGCATTAGTGGATCTTTCGAATAGTGTGTCAGCCATCTGGGGGATGTTCACGTTTGTCTCATTGGTGGTTGAGATCAGATCTGCACACAAAAAAACACACATTTACCACTACTGCACTATGCACCGAAATGTAGATGAAGGACTTTGAGAGCTTTATGATTATTGAACCAGCAGACAGATTCTCTAGGGGAAAATTCATATCCACAATTGCATTATGGAAGCAAGAAACAGCCCCACGGAGATAAACAACTCACTGTGCATTTTTCTTGCACGTAACAATATACTGCATGCAATGGAATGCATGAGAAAAAAAATTTAAGAAATGTTCTAGTCAGAGAGATTGAGGTAATTCAATATTTTATTTTTGAACAAAATCAAAGGAAATCAAATGTGTGTCATGAAAATCTAGTTTTCCAGATTCAGTAGAAATTGTACGTTTAGAAACTTACTGTATATGGAGTGTGAATGTAATCACACTTGTCAGGTCTAAATAAAGTCCCTTCCAGAAATCAACTACACACAAGATACAACTGTAAAATTAACTTCTTTCAGACACAATATCAGTTTCCAATCAAATGGGACCAAAGAAGCAGAACCGAAAAATGGATAAACACATGAAAACATGTCCAGGCTACATTTGACTCATTTTACATTTTAAGACATAAGATTTTTTTTTTGAGCATAAAGCAATGAGGCCATTATTCTCAATGGTGATTATCATCAGATTCTCAATACTGTAATTAAATGATTTTAAAAACTGAAATCAGCATTGGGAAATTTGGTGGAAAATGTGTTTTATTATCATGAAAACAATGCACAAAAATCTTAATAGTCTTAAAACAGGATTCATTTTCTGTAATCAAAATATATATTGTTTTCTTTATTTTGATTTGGAGTGCAGCATGTCCCTGAAATCTTCTTGATGGGCTTCACAACTGAGCTTGTCTTAAATACCATATAACATTGTGCTTAGGGTGCCAATATGTTAGTCATGGCGACTAGAGAACACACTGCAGTGGAGTTAAGAAGCCAAGAATAGTTCAGATTAAAACACACACTGAGATGCAGTGTGTCAACACTAGTGCAATATGTTGCTATGTAATGTCATAATATAAAGAAGTATGGCACAGCAGTTTCTGTGAGCAGGTGCAGCTCACTGGGATTATGGAATTGCTCAAGACGATTACAGGCAGTGTAAATACAGACACATTGCAAACACACACACACACACATGCACTGTCATTTGCTAGTCCACATTAATGTGAGCACATGACTAAACGGCTGCTTGGGTCTCATTTCTACTGTATATGATGCAATCATGCAACATCATACTTATCAATCCTGCCAAATATAATACAGAAAATGCATTTTACTGTTAATACTTAATATTACAACAACACTGACAGAAAAGCCTAACAACCTGCAACAATTAAAATGTAAAATGCCCATTAATTAACATTTTGTGAAGTGAAAATCTGCATATTTGTAAGAAACAAATCCATCAAGGCATTTTAACTCTAAACCGTCGCTTCTGCCCAAAATATGAGTCCATCTATAATCTATAATCCATAACAACAATTCCTCCAGTGAAAACGTCCATCCCCTGTTGTCCTCTCACATCAAAACTCACATCTGTTTTTAACTGTTTTCATTTGTAAACTGTGCTTGATCTGTGCATACTTCTCTCCTGATTCATACAAGACAACCTGTTCACCGAAGAAAGCTATATTATGGATAGAGGACTTTTATTTTAGCCAAAAGCAATGTTTGGAGGTTAAAACACCTTAACGGTGGATTTATTTCTTACAAACAGCTTTTCACTTCATAAGATGTTAATTGATGGACTGGAGTGATGTGGATTCCTTGTGGATTATTATGATGTTTTTATCAGCTGTTTGGACTTTCATTCTGACGGCACCCATTCACTGCAGATGATCCCTTGGTGAGCAAGTGATATAATGCTAAATTTATCCAAATCTGTTCTGATAAAGAAATAAACTAATTTAAATCTTGGGTGAGTCCATTCTCAGCCAATTTAAATTTTTGGGTGAACTACCGTATTCCTTTAAATTCAGTCTTTTTCATTTAAAGCAAATGCAGCCTGTCTGTCTTAGAATGAAGACCCTCTTGTGCAAATTGATAGCATTTCATCACGATGTCACTCACTCCTCCCCCTTCACCAATAATCTACTTCAGTTTCCATGACAACCTCACCAACACCCCTCATGCCTTCCAACTCAACAAACAAATGATTGAAGTAGTAAGACAAAAACTCATCAAACACATTTCCTTGTCATAAACACCTGACACTACTGAAGAAAAATTAGTTTGTTTCTGTGTATTGAACAGTGCATCTTCCCACAGGTGCTTAAACTGTGCCAAGACCGAATTGATTTCAGAAGAGCCTAAAGTGGGCTGTTATATCAGGAAACATCTTAAGCATCATGTATGATTCCCTGATGAATGGATTGCTAATATTCACACACACAAGGCTTTTGATTCCTCTGCTTGCATAGCAGTGTGCTCACCTTTGGCTTTGTAAATAATACATGCATGCTTTGGCTGATCGATTTATAATTCAGAAGGCCTTCTCCTGCAGGACACAGAGCTCGAGGCCGACATGAAGATGCTTTGTAGCCTCTCTGTCCTGTCTAAATGCAGTTGATTTCCTTCTGTCTTCTCAGCTCGAGACAAGCCACCCACATAAAGACACTTCCTAGTATGTTCTGTGCTGTCAATTTGCCTTCATTCAGCTTCACACACTAAGAATCTCCTTATATAAAATGCACCCTAAAAAGGCAGGTTTTCCATTTACAGAATTGCAACTGGTAGCAAACAACCTCACTGAGTACAAACCATGCATAAAACAGAGCGCTGTGCTAATTGCACGGTAAACTCAGCTTCATCATTGTACGCATTGAGCTGTGGTGCTGAACTGGACAGCGCCAGGTCTTAGGAACGAGGGTGCGTGCAAAATGTCTCACTTACACTCCAGGTGCTTCTTCTTGGGCGCCATCACCTCGTGCGTGGTGGCTTTGCAAACGGCACGAGCCACATCGGATCCGGTGAGCTGGTACTGCGCCGCGGCGATGCGATCCGTCAGAGTCTGTCCCGACATTTTCTCCCGGTAGCGTCGACAACCACCTCAAGAATCAACTTCAGGGGGAAGGACAGCCGAAATGCATATGATATTCGCCGACAAAAAAAGAGGCGGAATCCAAGGTGGCTCTCTAGACCTGACAATGTCAATTCCTCGTTTCGGTTTCCAACCGGAGCGGATGAATTTGCGTATTTAAAAGCACAAAATATATATTCTCAATTGAATCCTTTAAAACAAATTCCCTCGTAGGCGTCTAGCATGGGTTGGTTTCAGCACCCTGGATAATGCCTATATTGCGTAACGCCCTACGACGAGCTGATTCCTGGCTCTCGCGGGAAATAAATAATCAAATTAATACGTTAAACCGTCACCTTTGATTATCATATGTATTAAAAACCCCATCTAACCGAAATGACAGAGCGTTTTGCGATTAATGAGTTCTTTTTGCGAAGTAATTAATTAAATAAACATAAAAAAACGAGTTGTAGGAGCGCTCCGTTGATAAATCCTCTACTATAAAGCTGTTCGGGATTCCGGAGCCTCGGGAATATTCGGTCGCAGCCCGTGTGTCCTTCGCGTCCGGTCGGATGATGATGATGATGATGGTGATGGTGGTGGTGACGTGTCTCTTTCCAGCCGTCTCAAGGGCGGGAGTTTGAAGACAAGTATGTTTCCACGTTTCAGAGCTATAGCGTGTAGATCTTGGCTATTTTAGTTGCTTCTTTTTCTGGTAATGCAGGTTACGGTCCTGCCTCGTCGGTGGTCGTGGACCTGGTCAGGTGACGCATACCGGGCTCTTAAAGGGAAGCGGCCTCACGCTGGCACGCGCCTTTAAGGGGCCTGTGCGCGTTCACGGTTCATCAGTCTGCAGAGGTAGATTTTCTGTCACGAGCTTTCAGTGATATTGGGTGAATAGACGGCAGTCAAATGATCGTGTAATGTGTAGATGATCTTTAAGTTTGTCTCAGAATTGTATTACATTTTTGGACTTTTGTTGCTTTTTATGTGCTCTGTGAATAGGCTACGTACAAGCTAGGCTATATTTATCCTTGCGGTTATGGATGCGTATGTGCAATAGCATGATCCATTGCATGTCAAACTACTCTAAACATCAATAGACTGAAAGTGAAAACAGCAGCTTCATCATTCGACCACTAGGTGGGGGCAATTCAAAACTATTGATTTCTTTTGCTTAAGATTTTTTTTAACTTTTAATCTGCCACAACAAACAGTTTAGCCCTTATAAAGTTTGTCTTGTATACCTATTTACCAGCGTAACCATGTTTGTAAATTCTACCAGTGAATGCACTAATCTTTACCTTCTTCAGATTGTTCAGATATTTTTCTCTCACTATCATTCATATGTCTGCATCATGTGTCAGACGGCCAAGAGGAAAGGCATCATGCATTGTGGAGTTAATGCAGGTGAGGAGGCGGTCCCTATGATTATAAACAGAGTCTGCAGGCACAGCTGAAACATCACGCACTGTCTGTCAAATGCAGAACTTTGTGACTTGTAATACATGCTTTTAATGATGTGATATTATGTCAGTTAAGGAAATCCTTACATCAAAAGCCCAATTTAACTGGTACAACACAAGATTTACAGCATTTGATATAAATGTTATGGTCTTCTTCTAGATTTAAGATATAAAACATTTATGACAGTGTCCGCATGCTGTTCAAGACAATTCCAGATCATGAATGAATGTGATCATGATCATGAACGATCACTTTAAACGGTGAAGTTATAGTCATGACCCTACATGACAAATACGTTTTCTATTTTTGCCATTTCAGTACTGAAAAGTGGCATTCACTTTTCATCTGATCAACCCGTTTCCTCACTTTCTGCTGACACGGTTGCTTCAGAGGGTTGGCTGGGGTCGTGTGTCTCTTTACTCCTGTCCTTCAGTTCCTGAAATATTCTACTACAGTGCTTGATTGTTTGCTTTAGCTCCTGCAAGTCTCTTTGTACTCCCTCCAGGATGTCAAGCTTGGACAGTTTCCTGTCAATTGAGGCCAGATGTCCCTGATCGTTCTCAGTGATGCCTGAACCTTCAGAGTTGATTGGAGTCATGCTGCTGCATTTAGGCTCATTCATAGCCTCCTGCCACACCATCTCAAAATAAGAATCTATAAATGCCTCCAGCTCCTCAATGTTACTGTCACCCCATTGGTCAATTAGTTTCTGCAGGTTCTTTGATTGGATAAAATCCTTTAAGGCACTTTCTTTTGCAGTTTGAGATGTGTAAGGTGTATTCCTGTGGTAATATGGAAGGGATGGCCCCCAAAACCTTTCCCCCTGTGATTCGTTCCTGAATAATCGTTGCACATTCATTGGCTGTTCAGTTGTTGAAACATGGAATGCAGGCCCATCTGTCCTACTCACACCTATCCATGGTTCATTTGGGTGAAACCATTCGGAGGTGTTGAGCACCACTACTAGTCTTTGATGAATGTTTCTGGGTAATGAGGTCCTATTTGATAATCGGATACTCCTGCAGGCCACTGCTTGATTTTCAGTTGGTGAAAGGCTGGAGTCTGTGGTGGTCATTTTTGGATCACTGAATGTAGATGGGAGCAAATGTTCAGAGATCTCAATCATTTGATGCTCTCCTCGAATGTCAGTATCAACTGTTACGAAAAGAGTAATAGACACTTTAAACATCCAGTACCAGAATCAAGCAAAAATATAAACCTTTGCGCCTAATCAAGCAGTGTTGGGGGTAACGCATTACAAGTAAGGCAAGTTAGGTAATCAGATTACTTTCTTCCAAATAACTAGTAAAGTAATGCATTACTTTTTAATTTACAAGAAAGTCTTCTGAAAGCTGCACCCTCTTCTGTACAGACATGAATTTACATTTCCTTCAGAAGCTTGAGGGAAAAATGACAAGAGTGTAACTCAAAATTGCAAGATATAAACTTGGAATTGTGAGGGGGAAAAAGTCAGAATTGTGAGATATAGATTCGCAATTGCGAGTCATAAAGTCAGAATTGTGATAAATAAACTCGCAATTGTGACAAACAAAGTCTCAATTGTGAGATATAAACTTCTACTTGTGAGTTAAAATAGTGTGAACTGAGAGATTAAAAACTCAAAATTGTGAGATAATAAAGTACAAATTTTGAGATATAAACTGCATGGTGGAAACAAGCTTCCATAATAAAATGAGGAGAACTAATGGTAAAAATATAACAACTCACCATGATGGATGTCTGTAGAGATTCTAAGAGGTGTCTTTTGCATTTCCCCAATCTGTACCTTCCCACCAAACTTGAATTCGTCATTTACCAAAGGTCGTTGAATATTCCCTCGATTTTTTGCATTATTTAATATTTGTTCCAACACCATCTCCTCTATCTTCTGCATCAGTTCTGTGACCTGAGTGCCATTGTCTTTGATCTTATTGTTGAAAACCTGATATCTATTTCCACATTTTTCCACCAGCATCTGAAGTGCATCTCCTTCACTTTCAATATACTGCTCCACAGTGACATCACCGAGCCAGTCTCCATGTGTGAACAACACAACAGTGCTGCTCCACGCTTTCCCTCCCAGAGCACATAGATGGTCCTCTGCTGCTTTCAGTTTCCTTAGCGTAAATGATGAACTGGCATTGACAACCAGCAGGAGGATGCAGATCCTACTAGCTGAACCAGAAACCCAGTCATGGAGAAGTTGCCTTCTGAACTCTGCAATATATGGACACTCAGTTGTCCAGCCTGGTGTGTCCATGACCTCAACTTTTGTCTCATTGAGGATAACAGTACTTCTCATGAGGTTTTGGTTGTCAGCCTCTTGTCCATCATTACCCAAAATGCAATTTGCAGAAGATGTCTTACCAGAGTGTTTACCGCCCAGGAGAAATACTCTTACAACTGAGGGCAACTGTACTTTATCTGTAAAGAGAAAGAAAAAACGCTTACAGGAATAGTTCGTGAAAATTCTGTCATCATTTACTCACCCACATCTCGTTCCAAACTAGTAAGATTTTGGTTTATCTTCGAAATATATTTTGTATGAAATTGGAGTGGTTTCTGTCCCGCTATTGAAAGTCCATGTGACTAAAACTAAAAAAGTGTCATGAGCCTAATCCAGTGGTGCCCAACCCTGTTCCTGGAGATCTACCTACCTGCAGAGTTCAGTTCCAACCCTGCTTCAGCACACCTGCCTGTAATCATCAAGTGCTCCTGAAGATCTTAATTAGCTGGTTAAGCTGTGTTTGATCAGAGTTGGAGCTGAACTTTGCAGGAAGGTAGATCTCCAGGAACATGGTTGGGCACTGGCCTAGTCCATACGAATTGAGCAATTGAATCCAATTAATTTAAGTCCAAGATATGAACACTATAATGAACCAATTTAATTTAGACTTTATTTAATCCCATGGATTCGTTTTACAATGCCTTTATGATCTTTTTGGATCTTCAAAATTTTGGTTGCATAGACTTTTAGTGAAAGGACAGAAACCTCCCAGGTTTCATTAAAAATATCTTAATTTGTTTCAAAGATGAATGAAAGTCTTAAGGTTTGAAATGAGATGAGGGTTGATTCAGAATCAAAGTTAATTCAGAATCAAATTTTGTATCACAGTATAATTAATTAGATGATGCTGGAAGGTTTGTGACTTACTTTTAAAAGCTCTCAAGCTTTGTTTTCGTCTCAGCACATTTTCACGCCGGATCTTCGCACTGTCTTCCTCTGCTTGCTGTTTTCTCTTCATCTCTTTAAAAAGACTCTCATCTGTTTCCAAGTGGCTTCCTGCTGTCATCTCCTCTATTTTCTCAAGTAGCTCTGTGATCTGGAACTTATTCCCAAGGCTCTTGTTGTTTAGCACATGGTAGCGGTTTCCGCATCTCTCCACGAGCCATTGGAGGGTCTTACATTCGCTTTCAATGTACTGCTCTATGGTTGTATCTCCAAGCCAGTCCCCAAAGGTGAATAGCACTATAGAGTGATTCCAAACGTCCTTACTAATGAGCTCTATGTGCTCCTCAAGGGCTCTCCTGTAGATCTCTGTGAATGACCTGTCCACCCGTACCACCAAAAGGAAAGCGTGAGGACCAGGTGGACACCAGTACACACTCTTGACTATTTCCTCTTTGTCAAAAGCTGAAGAATCCTGGGTAAAGTAGTTCATCCACCAGCCAGGTGTGTCTACAACTGTTACCTGTCGTCCTGCCACTGTGAAAGTTTCGTTCATGCATTGTGTGGTCCGCTTGTTTGCTGTAAAGCTTAGGTCACTTCCTGCGGCTAGAATGCTGTTTCCTGTTGAGCTCTTCCCTGAGCCCTTTGCTCCAAGCAAGATGAGTCTTATATTTTGTTGATGAGATGAGTGCACTGAGGGGAGGAAGAAATAGAATGGTTGAGTTTTACAATAAAATGCATACAATAAAATATTACACTTTTGAAAATAAAGGTTCCAAAAGAGGGTGTTTACAGTTTTTGGTTCTCCAAAGAACCTTTAGCTGAACACTTCTTAAAAGAACCGTTTTTTTCTTAAGAACATTTAAAAAAACTAAAGAACCTTTTTTCACTATAAAGAACCTATTGTGGAACGGAAAGGTTCTATGGAGGTTAAAGGTTCTTCCATAATTGCCAGTAAAGAACAGTTGGTTTTTAAGAGTGTAATACTTTATTTTAAAACTCACCCTTCAGAGATCTCTGTTTCTGTATATTCATCAGTCTTTGATGAGCCTTAAGCTCCACTTCCCTCTTTCTGTCCTCTATCTCCTGTAAAGTCTTTACATCCATTTCAAAATGGCATCTTTCATTTTCTGCCAACATTTTGTCAATTT